TACAACAGTGGCACCATGCAGTATTTGTCCTTTTGTGACTGAGATATTTCACTCAGCATAATGTCCTCCAGGGTCACCCATTTTGAGTAATATTGCATGAGTTCCTTGTTTTTCAATGCAGTGTGGTATTCCATTGTGTGAATATACCACAGCTTCTCTATCAGTTTGTTTGTTGATGGGCCCCTGGGTTGTTTCCAACTCCTTGCTATTGTGAACAAAGCTGAGATAAACATGGGTGTGCATTTATCTGCTTGGATGTCAGTTATGGTCTCTTTGGGGTATATTCCCGGTAGTGGAATTGCTGGGTCAAATGGTAGTTCTATTTGCAACTTTTTGAGAAAGTGCCACACCACTTTCCACAGTGGTTGCACGATTTTACACTTCCATCAACAGTGAATAAGGGTTCCAGTTTCTCTACAACCTTGCCAGCATTTGTTGCTTGCTGTTCTGCTGAATTTTGCTATTCTGACTGGGGTGAAATGATATCTCATAGTTGTTTTGAGCATAGTGCTTTCTAGACTCTGTCATTTTATGTAGTATTTTATGAAATTATCATTCCTTAGTGCTGCATAGTATACTTTTTTTGGTTGTAGATTGTAGTAGATTGAAGGTTTTGAAATTAGGCAGAAAGCAGTTTATGTGAACATAATGAATTATGAATGAATATTGTGTTCAGTGAAGGTAACTGTGGAATGTTACTGTGTTGTTGATTGCCTTCCAGTCGAGTATGCCTTATAGCGAACTTATGAACAAAAGCCCCTCTACAACTCTCAACATTTATCAAAGTTCATAGAGTTTCCGGAGGTATGTTATTTGGGAAGTGCATGCTCCTAAAATTGTGAAATAGTCTTAGATATTTAGACCAATAAGAAATACACTAGGGTGCCTAGAAATGAATTTTGGCATATCGAAATTTAATACATAATAATGCAAAAAAACAGGCCCTCTGGCCTGTATTTAATTGTGTTTGGACAAACATTCTTCTAGGCTGTATAGCCCTGGTGTGTCCACTTGCTGTACAGAGGTAACTTGTGGTTGCTGTGAAGCTGAACACTGTGACACTGGTATGTCAAATGCAAGAATGGTTATCTGTGGTGGATGGTGTTTGGTAGCCCTACCCTATTAAAATGAGTTTGGAAGCAGGAGTGGTATTCACTTCTGTAACAGCTTGCCTCCAGAAACCCTATGAACCTCGAGAAAGGATGAAAGTCACACGAGCGTTGAGGACTTTCATTCATAGGGTCGCTATGAGTCGTCTATGACTCTATGGCATTTAACACCACCAACAACAACAACTACAATAATGCAAAAGAACAAACTATTCAGTAAGCTTAGAAATGATTGATTATTCTCATAGAAATTAATTTTAATATTAAGGAAATGTGATAATTCCAAATGAAGGAATAATAACAAAATAACTGGTTTGTATTTAATAGACCTTTCAAGATCATAATGGACAGTGGATAGACTGAGAACTGTTTTTAATTGAAGGAAGCTAAAACAACTGCTTATAGTAATGTGTGATACTTGCCTGAATTCTTATTTAGGATCCGTATCATTAAAACATATAGGTTGTAGGGAGCTCTGGTGCCCTAGTGGCAAGAAGCAGGGCTGCAATCCTGAAGGTGTGCAGTTCAAGTCCACCAGATGCTCTGCTGGAGAAAGGAGGGGCAATCTTCTCCTGTACCAGTCGGATCTGATTTGACGGTACACACACACACAAATAATAAGAAAATAAATTAAAAAAAAAATATGTAGGTTGAAAAGGTATGGAGAACGGACACATCTGTGGTGTACAGTCTTCCCAATTTTGAACCATGCAGTATTTCCTGCTCCGTTTTGACGACTGCTTCCTGATCCAAGTATCGGTTTCATGTTAGCACATTCAAGTGTTCTGGGATTCCCATTCTTAGAGTCAGCCACAGTTTGTTATGATCATCACAGTCAAAAACCTTTGCATAATCAATGAAACACAGACATTCTTCTGGTATTCCCTGCTTTCATCCAAGATCCCATGTAACATTAGCTACAATGTCCCTGGTACTACAACCCCTTCTAAAGTCAGCCTGCACTTCTGGCAATTCTCTGTTAATATGCTGTGTCCATTTGTTTTTGGATAATTTTCAGCAGAATCTTGCTTGCATGTGATATCAATGATATTGTTCTATAATTTCCACACTCTGTTGGTTCACCTTTCTTTGAATGGGAACAAATATACATCTCTTCCAGTCAGTTGGCCAAGTGGTTGTCCTCCAGATTTCTTGACACAACTTGGTGAGAATATCTAGGGCAGCATCTGTTAGTTGAAATATGTCAATTGGTATACCATCAATTCCTGGGGCCTTATTTTTTGCCAGTTCTTCAAAGCACCTTGAACTTCTTCCTTCATCACCATAGGCTCTTGCTCATATGTTGTTTCAGGAAATTCTTCTGTGTTTGCCAATTCCTTTCATCATAGTGACTTTGTATACACTTTCCATCATCTTTTAATACTTCTTGGATCATTTAATATTCTGCTCAAAGCATCTCTAAGTATAGCAATTCGAGGTTGGAATTTGTTCTTCAGTTGCTTGAGATTAAGAAATACTGAGCAAGTTTGGCCCTTTTGATATTCTGACTCCAGCTCTTTACACATTTCATTGTAATATTCTACTTTGTCTTCTTGCATTGCCTTTTGAAATTTTCTGTTCATCTGTTTAATGTATTGAATTCTTCCCTGTGCTTTGGCTTCTCGACGCTCTAGTGCAATATTCAGAGTCTCTTCTGACATCCAGTTTCATGTTTTTCTTTGTCTTCTGTCTTTGTAATGACCTTTTGCACTCTTCCTGGATGATACTCTTGATATCGTCCCACAACTCATCTGGTCTTTGCTCCTTGGTGTTCAAGCCCTCATCCTGTTCCTAAGATGATTCTGAAATTCAGGTGGGATAAATTCAAGATCATATTTTGGATCCCGTAGATTTGATATAATTTTCCTTAGCTTCAGCTTGAACTTGCATATGAATAGTTGGTGTTCGGTTCCACAATCAGAACCTGGCCTTATTTTCACAGCTGATATTAAGGTTCTCCAGCGGTTCTTTCCACAGATGTAATCAGTCTAATCCCTATGCATACCATCAGGTGAAATCCATGTGTATAACCTGTGTTTCTGTTTCCTGTAAAATGTATTTGTAATGAACCTATATGCAGAACAGATTTTCTGGGGGGCTGGGGTGTATGAGGAGAAGTGTGGCATCAGGATTGGTGGAAGATTCATCAACAATCTGCATTATGCAGATGACATAACCCTGCTTCCTGAAACTAAGGGGGACCTGAAGCACTTACTGCAGAAGGTCAAGGACTGCAGCCTTCAATATGAAGTATGGCTCAATATCAAGAAGATAAAGATTCTCAACACTGGACCAGTTGGCAGCATCAGGATGGATGGGGAAGAGATTGAGATAGTTAATAGCTTTAGTTTACTCGGCTCCACAGTCAACTCTCTTGGCACCAGCAGCCAGGAAATTAAAAGACATATTATGAAGGGAAAGTTTGCTATTCGGGCCCTCTTCAAAGTACTGAAGAACAGTGGTGTAACTCTGGAGACTAAGGTCCTCCTGATATAGACCAT